GGTAAGCGTTGTATAACGGTAAAACATGTATTTCAATCGTTATTCAATCAGCTGCGGTATATCGCGACAATAAATGCAAACAGCAAATTCGTTTCAACTTTACCCGAGTCGAAATTTTTCTCCTATTTTCGACCTCAATGTTCAATCTAGCACCTACTTTCGACCAAAATGTTCTACCTAACACCTACTTTGATACTTTAAGCAGTCACATCACCCTATTTTGAATCTCTTCAACCTCTTCAACCTCTGGCTCCTATTTAGAATCTGACAATTCTGTTTGAAAAGAAATTATGCTCCTACTTTAATGTTCCTAACGTTTTCTTAATTTATTTATTGCATTTAGTTTATTTTTATTATTATAGGTTTATTATATTTTTGATTAAATATTATATATGATTTATTAAACGTTTATAATAACGTTTATAATAAATGTTTATAATAACGGTTCTCTCTATTTATTAATTTAATCAAAAATAGTAAAAACAAAATTAAAAGGAATTTTATTAGGTTAATAATAATAGTTATATTATTGATAACTAAAAAAAATAATTTTATATATGACGTATAAATGATTATTTATATAAAATTGTATTTTTCTATATTATTTTTTCCTTTTTTCTCTCTTTTTTCTTTATTTATTAAAATAATTCAAAATAAAATTAAAAGAATGTGTGCATGTATGAGTACGCATGCGTATATGTGAAACTAAAGGTAGGAAATTTTAAATATATACAAAACTATTACAAAACATCTTTCTTTTTGTTATTACTTCTTATAATTACTTATCTTCATATATTTACATGTTACTAAATTTACGATAATTGAATATGGACTGGTATTTATTTATTCAAGCTCTTGCCCAATCAGCAGACAATGTTTTTTAAATGTGTTTTTAATATTCATTTTTTATTAATTATACATTTGTACAATTCATTGTAAAAATAATATTTATTTAATGTTTATTAAATATTTATTTCACATTGATTATTTATTTGAAGTAATAATTTAGAAAAAATATTTATTAAACGTTTATTTAACGTTTATTTAATATTTGTTTTACATTAGTAAGTTATTTGCAATAAGTTAAAAAAACATTTATTTAACATTTATTCGACATTATTTTAATATTTATTTTACATTAAACATTAACTATTTATTTGCCATAATGAATTGAAAAAACATTTATTTAACATTTATTCGACAGTAATGTAATATTTATTTTACATTAATTATTTATTTGCAATAATGATTTAAAGAAACATTTATTTGACATTTATTTAATATTAATTTAATATTTACTTCAGATATTGCGCTCGAATTCCTTCGCGTTTTGCAAACGCCCGATCGTTTCATTCAGATGTAGATGGCGCGACGCGTGAGTCGCCACTTTCAAAGCGCCCCCACTCTTTCCTCGCTCGGCTCGCTCTCGTTCAGTCAGTTCAGTGTCATGGCCGCTCTTGCTGCGTTTCTTCGGACGAGACGAGTACGTTTTCCTTCTTTCGTAACTGATTGAGCTAAGCGGCACATATTCTGGAGACCAACCGAGCGAGATTCGACTTCCCAAGGAGAGCTCACCGCCAGGAAAAGGAGAGCTGCGGCAGCTCGCGTCCGAGAGGGAGAATTGAGGCGAGGAGTCCGGTCCAGCGAGCAGGGCCCTTCCGATATTCTTATTTAGGACGCCATATTGGAAGATCGACATTGTTCGTAGTAGTACAAGGAGCTCTGCAAGGTTAATCTCGTCTTGAGATCTTGGAATTGCTCTTATTCTTGTGACTCTGGGTTATATTTTGGCCCTAGAATTTATCTCGTAGACAAATGCAGAGGCTCCCCCTCTCTTTTCTTCTCTTTTCTTTTCTTACTTTGATTTCAATCGGTAATCCAGACTCCTTAATTCCGTATTATTAATATTATTTGTTAAATGGCATTTGTGATATGCGATTAGTTATTTGGTATTAAGGTATTAATTTTAAGTTTTATTAGTATTAAGATATTTCATTTTAAGATACTCACAATCAGTATCAAGACATTTTTCAATTTTAATTTTAATTTTGTTGAAACTAAATTTTAATTTTTATTTTTATTAAGATACAATACATATATTAATTGTTTTAAATGGTTAAAAATTTATTTTTTTTTCGTTATGATATAATATGAGTTTAATTTAGATAGTATGCAAGAGTACATGAACAAGTAGATAAAAAAGTGTAAACAAATAAATATATGTTCCTTTGTACCTTAGAAACAAACGTGTGCGATCTCTTAGATTTTTTCTGACTCTCCCCCCTATATGCTATTTACCACATTATCATATTAACATGCTCTATGTCATGTATATTATCGGTGACTTGCAGTGGAGTTTTTATTTAAGTTGTGTTTCATATGGTTAATAAAAAAAAGATTTATTATATAAATTTTATAACATTATTAATTGTGATACATGTATGTCTATATGTATCTGATTAATTAACAATGTTATAAAATATTTTGCGGTAATATTTTTTTAATATTAAAAATCTTAGATTCTAAATAATAAATCTAGATAAATATTGCGTTTAACAGAGCAATGAGATACGACAACATAAGTCAAAGTCACAACCGTATCTCGTTGCTAAATTTACCAAAACCTATACTATATGAATTACCGATGATGTACGTGATATGGAACATGTTTCATTACGATTTAAAAAGTAGTAAAAATTAATACATTGATAATAAAATGTACTACAATAAATGTTTTCTCCAATAGTCCTAATAAAGTATTCTTTTGAATTCAGTAAATATTTTATTAGGTTTAGAAAATTTGTTTCAATTAGATGAATAATTTTTTCATTTGAAAAATATTAACTGAATTAAAAAAATACTTTATAAGGACTATTGGAGAAAACATTAATTAAAATTTAGTACATTTTTCTATCAGTGTAGGATCTAGAGGGTTTTAGGAGGTTTAGGAGGGTTTTACCGATAACTCCTCTTTTAAACCTCAAAATGGGAAACAGTCCGTTTTCTGCCGTTTTCAGGCACAAAGTAGGAGCTAAGTACAATACAATTAGAACCTATCAAAATCCTCCAGAATCCTGAGATGTGAAAATAAGAGGTCGAAAGAAGGAGTAAAATTTCGACTCGGGTAGCAATATTTATATATCCTTCATTCATTCAATTTATAGACAACTATTTTACAGCTTCGTAAACGTAATCGGAAGTGAATCCTAAATCGCGATTTAAATATGTCTGAAAGTGGAACATTCACAATACATAGAATGTACTTTATTAAACTTCTGATGCTTATTCTATTAGAGATTACGCTTATTGTTGCAGATAACGTTGTTTTCCTTGTGGATAATGTCAATTATAAGCAACCCAGAGATATATTAGAGTTAAAATCGTATGTAATTTAGATCTCTATTATTATATTATTATCCATAATTATCATGTGAATTTCATCATTATGACAATAATGGTCACGGTTCATCGTTTATAAAATCACATTTTATTCGTATTTGTTTTGATTCTCGTCTCTGCGAACAAAGATCAATCCTATCCTCATACAGATAATTTCTAAATTCGTCTGTACGCGCATGGGAATGCGCGGATAGGATAATTGCGTAGATATGTTAACACGAATAAATAATAATCATGTTCGAATAGATTGTCGATATTATGTATGTCGATGGTCACTCGCTGTCGCGGCGTATGCACACTCATACATAGCGTAGTATATTACACTACGGCGCGGCAACCGTCATTTCATACGCGCGGTCATCCATTTCAGGAATGCGATTAAAGGTCGATATTAGCATTGATACTCGTCTAATTCGAGTCGATGAGTCCTCGCGCCTCGATGAACACCAATCGAATTCTCAAATTAATTTACCAAATTGCTTTTGTACGTCAACCGTCATGATATTCCGGATTTTCATTCGCCAGATACATTTCTCCAAAAGAATATATATATCATACATGTATTTCGCTCTGCGATCAAGCCAACATGCCTTCGAGATTAATGACCATGCGGTTACCAATAACTATACGCTTTTATCCTATATTTCTCTCTTCACCGCCACATATAAAACACGTTTATAACGAAAGCGCGAAACAAGATTGCCTAATGCGACTCTCATGGATGTAATCTAATTTAGATTAAACGTGAGGTCTCATACGTGACGACACCAGTCCTCGCATGCGCATTTAAATAGGTATGTTATATCGTTCGTATAATATTCTCACAGAGCATGCAAATGGATACACGATCCAATCGACTCTGTCCGGATTCCGCTTCATTGATATAGAAGACTAACCAAGTTGACAAAAGATTAATCACGAACAGAGAGCTAAACCTCTAATCTGCAACGACTGCAATCATGTCCCTCGATCTCCGTTATTACGCTCACTCTGTGAAAGATTGGTTCTCCATAAGTATTCGTCGTTTACGAATACTTAAAAGTAAGTTGTGTTATTTAATCTCAATGTAACAATTGATAGTTTTACATTGATAAACATAAATTAAACGAAAAAGAGATAACAGGATAAAAGAACAATTAAACGTGTGAGGAAACGAAAGATGGAATTTATAATATTGACATGTATTACAAGCAAAAAAGGAATAAAATTACAGAAAAGTATGCTAGCATGTTTTCTTCGTAGTCTTTCGTTTCTGCATGGTTCAACGAAGGATTAGCTTGAAAAAAAGAATCGAAACTTCGTAGCTGCATCGTGAAGGAGAGAAGAAGGCTTCACGTGTCGCAATACGAGATCGAGCGAGATGAAGAAAAGCACGGCGGAGCAGGAAGAGAAAAAGGAAGGGAAAAACCCGTATGAGAGAGAAGAGATCGCGTTAGAAGAGGAGCGCGCGGAGGAAAGTACGGAGACTGCGTGAGAGTGGGAAAACGTGGTTGTAGGGGGTGAGGTGGAGAAGCGATAGAGCGAGTTTGGCCGGAGAGAGGGAGGCAGCGACAGAGACAGAGAATGAGGGTTGGTTTGCCGAGCTCAGTTACGCCGCGCCCCTTGCGATGAGCGTTACACCACACGAGTGAGATCGCGGTGTCTCTAAAAGGGCGATTGCTCTCCTCTCTTCTCCACACTGCCACTTTTCCTCCCTCTTTCGTGGTGGTGTGAATAATGCGGCGCGATTGTTAACGCAACGAAAAGCTAGGAAAAGCTCCTCGCCTTGTAAGGGAACAGGTAGCGCGTTAGGTGCACGTGTTTCCCTATCGGAGAATTAACAGCCGATTTTGTCGACATTCGCGCTAAGTCTCTTCCATTGTTTTTCCCGATGATAAAAACGCATTGACAAATAATTTCATCAAAACTGTCCATAAATATTTTATGGTAAGAAAGGCATGAGAAAATTACAAGGTGGTCTCACGTGGAAATTAAGTGTGTTAGAGAAAACGATTAAAGAACGTGCGACTATTGACGAATTATATGCACTTTTCGGTTTTGTGTCATACGAACAATGTAGTTTCCGATTAACATTGATGACTGGATGATAGCTTATTCTCGTGCAAATATTCGTTCTCGCTCTCGAGAGAGAGACATTCAGCAAAATAAAGTACCATTTAAATCAAAATAAGTCGATCGTAAAGCTGTGCAAATTCGTCGTCTACAAAAAAGAACTTGAACTCCGGCTGTTTGAATTTGAAGTTAATCTATATTATCGCGGAGCGGACAAATGCTTGCAACGATGTAGATGTGGTGTGGCAAAGTTTTAACAGATAAAACTTTAAAGAAAGAAACATGAACATGATTGAGTGATCAATGCGTGAATTTGTTTAAAAAGTTTTCAAATAGGAAGATATGAAGTAGCAGAAACTTTCAAAATTCAGAGAGTTGGATTGGATGAAGCGAAGTTAAAAAACGGTTCAATTCTGAGGCCAATTCAACAAAGGTAAAATACTTAATATTTTTCGCGTTCGAATAATTTTCAGTTTAGATGGCGGCTAATTTATCTAATAAAAAAATTTAATTTGTTGCTTTTACGCAATTCTTATTTTGCTATATTAAAAAAGCAATTATTTTTATAAATAATGCAATGTTTGTTTTATAAATAATGCAAAACTTTTAAAATTTTACGTTACCATGTTACGTAAAAAATAAAACGCAACAACAATTTTATAACTTTGTTACTTGATCTTTTCATAGCAATGTTTTTTATCAAAAAAAATTATTACACGGTATTTTATATAAAAATGGTATATTCGTCTAATGTGTACTAAAATATGTGCAGTTATGAGATCTATCGTATTAAAAAGACTTTCTATGACAAATACCGTGACATATCGAATAACTTTCAGCAAAGGGATTTAAATCTTTTTAATGTGTTGTACGCGGAAACTTTATCTAAAAATACATGGTACGTTTGTAAAGAAAATATACATGTATATCATATATACACGTATCTATATATACTACTGTACACATTTTTAAGATAATATATATTAAAAAATATCGTTACACAAAATTAAAAGCAAAAACTGTGAGAAAAATACGCCAAATTTCATACTTGTCCCGCATTTTTTAGCCAAAAAAACTGTGGTAAACATAGGTCGAAACACAAAGCGCATTGGCACGCTGCATCTATTTACGAACTATAATTCCGCAAAAAAGGAATAAACAATAAATATAAGTTCCCTGACATTATATGCTGTGCCGGCATTTATATATAAATCCATGTTTATTCCGCAAAATGTGTTAGCCATGTATGTTGGATTTCGGAGACCCGGCTTTTTTTATAAAATGTCTTTGATGTCACGGACAATTTATTGCGAACAATCAATTGTACGTTCTGTACGAGCCAACGAGGTAACATGGACGGATGCGCAGGAAATTGAGGACGGAAACTTGAACGAGATTTTAACCATCTGGACGGAAATGTCGAGGGCGTAACCAACAGAATTCATCCTCGCGGCGATTCAAACTTGCTCGAATTTAAGCGGCCCGGAGAACAAGTATACGTTCGAGTTTTAAAAGTCAGCTCGAGTTTTCCAGCAACCGAATTGGCAGAAGGGAATATCCGTGCGCGTGTGCGAGGGACAGTTGTGTACGTCCCACTATTGAATTGTCTACAATCATCTAGGTCAAAGCGACCAAGAGCGATAGAGGAACTTGAACTCGAACGCTGACTTTGTCCCCTATTGCCGATTTTCGCCTGTTAATCTCATCCTTCTCTCGAAGTCAGACGCCACGCGCGACAGTAAACAAACATAGATGCAGCTCCTATAATTTAAATTACATTACCTTTGATAATTTGCAAGCTGTATATATCTCACTGATATATTACAAAATATTGGGAGAAGTTTTGCAGAAGTTTGACAGAGATTTGTTGAATACGAATAGAAGGTACTCATAATTAATCAAAACGTCAATACGATAGAAATCGATCGCTTAGTAATAACAAAGTACGACATGGAGGAACGATGTTTAACGATAACCCAATTATTATCCAAAATATTCATCAGTTATAAGCATTTTTAATTTCAATATGTAAATTTGGCATGCTAAAAGTAGGAAATTTCTCTTGTATCATGGCCGAATAGCCTCAATTATAAACAAATTAAAATTGTTGCGCCTGAGCATTTTATCAGCTGGTTTTCAGCCGTTTTCGTGACAAGCGGAAGAGACACCGCCGCTGCGAAAATCCAACGAGCTTTTCGCTTTTTGTCAAAAGATTGGATGATTAATCATGACGTCCTATATCCTCTTTGCGCCCTTTGGCCTATGTGTGTCTACACGTACGTGATACGCAGTTATTCCCGCGCGCGCGCACATGCGTCACCGGGCTGTGTACCTTTTAGTGAACGAGAATTCATCAACGTCTAAAACTGGAGTGAAGCCTTTGTGAGTGATTGACCCTCCCGTGCTAGACCTTGTCGTTCCGCGTTGTTTCATTCCCAAGTCTAATATTTCTAATCTAATAGTCCAATACTTTTAGCACGTCCACTTTGCTTTCCCGAATGTACCACAACATTTGAAAGGAATGAAGATAAATTATTATTAGCGTTTTTGCGAATAAAATGTGTCAAATATTATTCAATATATGCCGATAACCTTTACTTTCCAGAATAGCTTTATATTTAATCGTAACTTATTTAAATTTATCACGACTCTATTAGATTTGCAAGTTCTTATCTACGTTCCAAAATCTAATCATCGTTTTGTAACAAGTTTGTAACTTCATAATGTCACACTGTCAAACGCGTCATGTGTCAAAATTGCACCTAGTCTAATAAAAGAGCTAACTTTTATCGAGTAGTTTGATGGTCGCGGCGCTAAAATATTAAATCAATTACGATTATTCAAGAGTGTTCGCCTCAACAGATTTATCCTATCATCGTCGAGAAAATCTCCCTCTCTCTCTCTCTCCTCTCCTTTCCGATATATGCAATTTACAGTTTTAAATACATAGATTTGGCCGTCGCATCAACACTGACCCTATTCAATCCCGTCTCACCGTTTAATCTGCATGAGATAGGCAGGTACGATTAGACGATTCGGCGGAAACGGAGAACCATTCAGTATTCCGCGCTTATCCGCTCGCTCACCGGCCCGGCCTCGACAATTCACGTTAGCCATGTAACATGGCCGAATTCAACCGGGAAGCTTATAAGCTTTTCAACACGCGGATCAACGAGGGTTTGAAGCCTGCCGAACAAGGGCAACATAACCCTAGCGTATATGTATCGCGGTCGGATCGATTTCCATATCTCAAACCGTTTCCCGATCCCTGAATGAACACTGCAGGGGTAATGTCATACGGCATTTAAGCTATGTAAATTTCACCGTGCAATTGTCGGTATCGTTTGCAGCTAATTATATGCTTTCCTTGCATTGTACTTCAGTCAGGATATGCATTTCCCTGAATGTATATTATTCTCTTTCAATCTCTCTGTTGTCGATCATAATAGCTATCAGAATGCTTCTATTAATTCCTTGCGCTCTCGATATTTTATCATACACGATCTTCGAGATTGCTTCGGAAAAACGAGCTAGAACTTGCGCAAAATTTATGAATCGCTCACGTTTGTTTGCGTCGCAGCACGAAGACACAGGGCATCGTAATTGTTGCCCGGATAAAATTAATCATCTCGGTTTACTTTTAATTTACATTCAAGCCGATGCTTGCTAACGACATTCACGATGAACTACACTAATATTTACTTGTATTACAATTACAACAACAACTCGTTCTCGTTGCAGAATTGCAGAATAATAATGGTATAGCTGTATATCACATTTATTAAGAAAATGAGATTGTCTAATTAAGTTGCGTAGTTAATCAGTTACATTTTTGCGAACTGTACTGTTTATACAAATTTGATAACGCTGAAAATTAGGAAATGCTATACACCTATGAAAGTTGATATATACACCGTATTTGAACATACATAATATACCGTTTGATTGGCGTTTATCATAAGCGGCGTATGCTGCGCATTTGCGCACATGTAATAAGTTAATCATGCGTCGGCGTAGCAGACAGCGTGAAATACGGCACGTGTAGTGATTAAATATATATGAAATTATGTGTGATCGATGGAGTATTTACATAAAGCAGCCGATTGATATAATGATCCTGAGAAGTATGTATGATATCGCTATGTATGTTATATTGTTATATCGCGTTCTTTTTAAAGCGAGCAATCCAGTATGGTGTCAAATTTTCGAAAGTAATCGCTTTGTCACGTAGAAGTTGACAGGGTTTCGGTAATAGATTTTTGCGTTGTTTGCGCGGGAAAAATTGGCTGCGCGAAACTTGCACAGATTCACGGCGAGACCGTGTAACACACGGCACAGCTTCCCGAAATTACTTTCTCGCAGCGCGCAATCCGGAATATCGCCCACTTCTCTCTTAATACAATACAGTTTTGCATCTCTATGAAAGTTCAATCAGCGAGTAAACCGGATTATATACGTCACGTCGTTCATCCGTTTCTCCGTCGATATTATTTTACAATGTACATACATCTCCTAAACCGCGTACGAATCTCGGTACATCAGAGAAAATATCAATACATCAAATGCAATGAAACAATATCGAACAATATCGAGCAGTCACATCGGCGGGGTGCATGCGATGGTTTAATCAAACAATTTTGCATCTTGTGCCTCGGGGGAGATACAAAGACCCCGTAATTTAACGCAACGCTGTAGATCAGATTATGCATACATTGACTAGCGTTCCCAATTTTTAACTGCGCGAATCTCCCGTATTCCGTCGGCATACCGAATGGACGGTGTAATTGCAAAATCCGTAATGAAATATTGCGTTTTCCCCGTGTTTCCGCATATACGCGTGGAACTGCAATTCTCCTCTCTCGCGTACGAGAGTTTTCTTTTCATTCTTCTCCGCTGTGGAAATCCGCCATCTCCGTTCATCCGTATGTTTGCGACAACGATCATTTCTCTCGCGCTCAATAGTGCTCGTTCCAGGATGTTAATTTGCAAGCAATTTAGTGCAAATCGCAGAGGGATGGGGAAACGGAACGAGTCCTCGAAAAAAAAAAGATAACAGAAAAATTAATTTTCCACACTGTTTGTCTTGGACGTTGGGTCGAGATACCCAGCATGTGGCGAGCTGTTTCCTCTACGTTCTGTGTTACGGACGGAATTGCGACTCACGCTCGAATAAAGAGTCACCGGTACCGTGAAACGAGAACGGCAAATGAATTTCAGCGTGATTCCAGCTTTATAATCCCGTTTAATAGCTAATGAGAATAGGATTCTGAAAATCGCTCGAAAATCTGTCTACTGTGATAAGCTTATTACGACTTACAATTAGGCCACGCACACACACAGACTTATAAGTTTACGTTACTGTCATTACGTATTCTAATAACTCTTTAGTTTGTGATATTGCTACAGACATCGCTATTAATAATATTTAATATA